TATATATATATATATATATTTGTGTTTAAAAAATAATTGAAATATTAAATAAAAAATATAAAAATACTAAATATATCACATTAGTGATTATCATGTTACACAATATTGCCAATAAAATGCACATTAATGAAATACAGACTGCACAATATTGTTAAATCAAATGCACATTAAAATATAAAAAAAAAAACGACCAACTTATATGTATATTAATTATTTTCAACAAGCAATAGCATAAAAATATTAAATAAAAATTATAAATGTTAAATATATTTTAATATATAAATAACTTATTAATTGCACCAACATATTAATTCAAATACGCATTTTTATTTATTTCTAAATTGTCAAACAGTAAAAGAAGCTACACGCACATTATGTTGCACAATAATGTTGGACTCAATGCAAATTATTTTAAGTATGAATGCACAGGATTTCACATATTATGTTTTTCAACCAAAAAATAATATAAAATTATTTAAATAAACTATGAAAATACTAAATATAATATTAATATAATTGTAATATCCTTAACGTGGCGGTCCGTTAAGGATCCGATGAATGCGTCGACATAATCTTCAAACGACGAGTGGCATAAGTTGCGGAAACCAGCGGCAGGGTGAGACGGCCCGTCGTCATGCCCCATGCAGTGTGTGTGTATGACGGTGACTGTGTTAGAGTAGAACACCTGGCGTTTCAATCTGATTGGTTCTATTTCTACTTATAAAGACAATTTATTAGAATTTAATATTTTGAGGCATTGCTTTATCTTATGTCTTTGCATTTATCTTATATTTGCACATATGATAAAGTCCTTAGATCATTATTAGCTATAAGGCATGGTTGCGCCATTTGATGGTAATCGTGGAACATGTCTTTAAAGTTGTGATCTTAAATAAGTTCCAAGTCGATGGGTGTTTCGAGACAGAACATCGAATAACCCGGTAATACTTGTGCATATAATGTATGCTTGTCGGACGAGAATGTTGCATTCCATCAATATTTGCGTATGGACGCCAATACATATATGTGGGTACTTGTTGAGGAACAAGTTC